CCACACACACATATTTATATGCTCTCACGTGTTGCTGCAGTGCAGGCACCCCGCACACACAACCGTCGCCGCGTGACCGGATCCAGCGGAAGGAGGAGGGAAGGAAGAGAGAGTGAGACACAGAGGCCCCACATGTTCCGGCTTCACTTCTATTCCGCGGTGCTTCTACTTGTTTTGTTGATGTGCTGTGGTACCGGTTGGGTTGCGGCCGCTGGGGGTGAAACAAGGAATACCATTGATCCTTTTAAGAGGGCGTCGATATCATTTGCCAATTGGAAGGAGTTTAACGAGGACGGCGGGGAAATCACCTCGCTCCGCGTTCCTGGCCTCGTTAAAGTGGGTGATGATGTATTTGCCGTGGCTGAAGCGCAGTGCGGGGATGGGAACGGAGCTGGCAGCTGTGCTGGGATTGTGTCAAAGCACCTGAATATAAGTGATGACTCAATGGATATTTCGATGTCGGATATAAGTTTGTTTTGCATGCAACTTGTGGACGCCGCCGCGAATAATTTTGGGACAACAGAAGTCTTGCGACCAACGACAGTTGTAATTGGGGAGATTGTCTACATGCTGGTGGGGAAATACAGTCCTACAAAGTCGCAGTTTGAAGATACGAAGGAGCGGGGCCTTTTACTCGTGAAGGGAACTGTCTCTGACGAGGGTGGAAACAACAAGAAACTTGTGTGGAATGAGACCCATGTGGTGGACCCTCAACGAAAAGGAGAATCTGTTTTATTGACCGAGTTTTTGGGTGGCGGAGGCTCGGGTGCTGTGATGGGTGATGGCACGATTGTGTTTCCCATGCAGGCCAAAAACAAGGATGTAAAGCGCGTTTTACTGTCCATGAGTTTTAACCCGTCAGACAAAAAATGGGAGCTTTCATCCACGGCGACTGGTAAGGGCTGCAGGGATCCAACCCTGGTGAAGTGGAAAGAAGACGACGACGAAAGACTCTTCATGATGGCTCATTGTGCTGGAGGCTACTATGACGTTTACATGTCCACTTGGAATGGGTACGGTTGGAATACGTTGGGTGAGCCACTTAACCGCGTGTGGGGAAACTCACACAATCGAAAGGGGCATGGCGTCCAGAGTGGATTCACCACGGCAACCATTGAGGGAAAGGAGGTGATGCTCGTGACCGCGCCGGTGTATGCGAAGGACAATGAAGGAGGAAAGGGTCGGCTCCATCTTTGGGTGACGGACAAGGCACGTATGTATGATGTTGGGCCGGTATCTCGTGAAAATGTTGACGCCGCCGCCAGCTCGCTGTTGATGAAGGATAATAATAAGGAGTTGATTTCACTGTACGAGAACAAGAAGAGCGACGGAGCATACAGTCTTGTTGCTGTGCGTCTGACCGAGAAACTGGAGCGGATAAAGGAAGTGGTGAAGACATGGAAGGATTTGGACAGCGCCTTGCAATCCTGCAGTTCCGGTTCCAGCGTCACTGTCGACTTGCCAAAAAAAAGTATGTGCAATGGTCCTGTTCCCACTGAGAGGCTTGTTGGCTTCTTGTCTGGTAACTCAACTGTGACCGAGTGGCGAGACGAGTACCTCGGCGTGAACGCCATTGTCCATGGGCCGGCGGAAAAAAGGATAGGGGTTCCCAATGGATTGACGTTTAAAGGATCATGGGCGGAGTGGCCTGTTGGTAAATTGGGGCAGACTGTGCCGTACTACTTTGCGAACAACGGGTTCACTCTTGTGGCGACGGTGTCCATCCACGAGGTGCCGCAGAGTGGCAGCCCCGTTCCTTTGATTGGCGTGAGGATGAATGACACCAGCAGCACGGTGCTCTTTGGTCTTTCGTACACCCATGAAAAGAAGTGGTTGGCCATACCTGAGAATTCTGGTGATGCGGAGGATTTTGATGATTGGGAGCCAAACAGGACGTATCAGGTGGGACTGCGAATGAATTCTTACTGTTGGATTGCCTTTGTAGATCGAGAGGAAATTGACTGCAAGAGATATAATGAAAGTCTGTTCAACTCGCACAGGATCTCACACTTCTACATTGGTGGGGACAGTAAGGACCGAAGTGCAACGGGCGGCCATGTGACGGTGACCAACGTCATGCTTTACAACAAGAAACTGTCGGAAGATGATTTTCTGGATGAACTCCAAGACAGCAAAGTCACTATTCCATCAATTGGCGCTGAGAAACAGCCCACAGGTCCGGTGGCCAGCAAAGACGTCTCAGTTTTTCCCGAGTCAAGGAGTGAAGAAAGCGCCGCCAGCCATGAATTGACAGAGGGTGATCGTGTTAAACAAGAGGAGAAAACAGCGCCGAAGATCCGGTGCCTGCAGCTTCCTCTTCCACGGTTGTCGGAGGATTCCCTATTTCTGAACCCGCCATAGCAGCGGAGAGCGCAGAGAATTCTCTTCCAGAGAATAATGCCCAACTTTCCGAAGGCAAAACAGCCCAGCAAGACACGCTGAATGAAGCGAAGGAATCGATGCAACAGGATTCAGATGTGCAGCCACAATACCCACAGCCAGCGGAATTAACGGAGGTTACCGATGTTAAAGGATCCCCTGAAAGTAATGATACAGAAGAGCCAGAGGAGGATGGAGGAACGAATGACAGGAGTGGCGGATCAACGTCCTCAGTGGGTGCATCATCGGATATGGATGCGGCCACCGAAACAGTTGACAGTGAGCGCCAATTGCAAAAAAGCACTGAGCTTGCCACTGAAAACGACGAAGTGCGGTCCACTGGAACCGGAACCACCGGCGCGGAGCAAAGCCTCAGCCTCGAGGCGGGGGGCAGAAATTCCGAGAGAACAATGAACTCAGGCAGCAGCCTCACTCCTTCAAGGAGCGACGCCGAACCGACATCCGCGGAGGACACCGACAACATCTCTCGGACTGAAGGAACTGAAGTTTCTTCTGAAGACGGCAAGGAGGTGCCACAGACGGTCGACACCGCACCGGGCAATACAAACACCATGCCTGTGGAAACCAAGATTCCATCGGAGTCCAACGCAACAATACCCTCGGACCGTGACATTTTGCTTGAGAAGGGGCATTACAGCGAGTTGGCGGCCATTTATCTAATTGGTGACAGCACCGTGCATTGGTGTGTGTCTCAGATGTTGTTGCTGCTGCCTCTGGGGCTGTGGGGCACTGCGGCTCTTAGCTGAATGAATTTGGAGAGAGAGAAATTGCAGAATTCTGTGGAGCAACAACTGAGCAGCATCCCATCATTACCCAATGAATTTTTTCAATTTCATTTTTTGCTTTTTCTTCTTCCTTTTCCTTGTTTTTTTTTTTTTTGAAAATCACTTTTCTTTTTTTGCTTGTTGCCTTGGGGCAATCACTATGGACGTTTTTCTTTTCTACTCTTCCCTCTTTAATTGTTTCTTCCGCACTCTTCCTGTGAGGGGTGCCGTGTGTTTCCCGCCGAACTGCTCCACTCGCACACCCACCGACACGCTCATGATGACGGCCCTGTGCGCCTCGCCTGCTGCACGCATGAGGAGGGGCCGCGACGAACGGCGCGCTGCGGGAGCCGTGACGTGTGGGCGTGCGACGAGGGCCTGTGGGGCGGAGCACACATTTCTTCCCTCTTGTTTTGTTTTCTTTGCGGCCAGGGCGGGCAGTCCCTTCGTGCCGGCAGTCCTGTGAGCATTTCTCTCCCCTCTGATGATTTTCTTTTTTTTTTTGCTGCGCTCACTCTCCCGATGGAGTGACGCGACTCCCGTCATGTCTGCGTGCTTCTCTCAGTCCCCCCACACACGAGTGACTGTGCTCTGCGGGCCGCACTCACGCGCCGATGAGAGGGCTGAGGGGAGCAGCAACACGCAGATGACCCCGTGAAATACAAACGATGTGCGGACACATGGAGGTCGGACGGTTGAAAGACACTTAAATATCTTTTAATTTTATTTTCGGACAAAATATGCGGACAATTTCTGGAGCAAAATGGTAGTTAGGTGCTTTTTTTGTGTGGCTTTTCATTTTCATTTTTTTTTTTTTTGTGTGTGGGACAGTAATAAAGGACGACTTTTTTTCTTTTTTTCAATTTTTTTTTTCTTTTTTTTTTTTTAATTTTTTTCATTTTTCTTTTTTCCAAAGTGTGAGTTGTGGAAGGGTGAAGATGAATTATTATTATTATTTTTAATAAATTTTTTAATGAATTGCCGCTGCTTCCTCTGCAGTGCTGTATCATGAGTCTGAGCAGTCTTTTTCTCTTTATTTCTGCCGCGCACCTCTGCTGTACATTTTTGTTTGTGCGTCCCTTCACATGCTCTGCTCCTGTTTTTACTTCTTTGCCTCGTGTGTCTGCAGGCACACACAACCACATGCACGCACAAAATGCACATTGCAGTGGATTTGGATGCTTCTTTTGTAGCGTGTGCTGGTGGCTGTTGCCTCCTTCTGTGGGCATGAAGGGAAGGAGGAGAGAGGGAGCGCGCACCGCGAGTCACTCTTCCTGCGGGTGTGATGCGCGCGGTGGGCTGCGACTGCTGTGGAGGGCCGCATCCTTTCGGTGTGCGCTTCTCCGCCGTTGTGCCGTGCGGTTGCTCATGTCATTTGTTGTGCGCATGCGTGCTGGGCATGTTTTCCCGGAGCGTTGGGCGGCCACCATCTGTCGATGGCGGTTTGTGTGAGTGGGCACGTGCGGATGAGGGTCAGGGCGCATGGAATGAGGGAATGGCTTGAGGAAAGGGGAATTTGATTTGGAGGGTATTTGGACCGGATTCATTTGGCTGCGGTGGACACATGCACGACGGATGTGTTTCCGCATAATGGGGAGGATTCGACAGGGTTTTTCGAAGTGACCCGTCAATGCAATTCGGGTTTTATAGCACCGAGGCACAGTGGTCTTCCTGCAATGGCTGGTGAGGGCCTCTAGTGGACCGGTGTATTTATGCTGCTGCTGCTGCTGCTCGAGGAGGCGTAGAAGTGCGATTTGAGGTGAGCGGCGGAAGAGCCACACATCCCGCAGTGACGGTCTTCGTTGGCCCACCGGGTGCCTCTGAAGGTTTTGTTGGATGCAACGTCCTTATGCCCTTCTCCGGATGGCGACATCCCTGATGCAGCCAACGAACGGGTCTGGGAGCGACGGTGAGTCGCAAGCACGTCGTGGATGTTTGGAGCGGCCGGCGCACCGCACGCTGAGAGCATGGCACGGTGAGGGCCGGACCCAGAAAAGGGACACCGCGTGGGACGTCAGTCTTCACTGCAGCGACCGCCACCGAATTCGGATTTGTTCGCACCTTCTGCGGTCCCTCTTTCTCCCCTCACTTCTGTGCCGAGGACTGTGCCGCGGGATCCAGCAGCGCAATGTTTGGCCGCAGGAACATGGCCCGAACAAATGATTTGTGGGAGGGGGATGTGCACTGCGACGAGAAGAAAAAAAAAAGGTTGCGAGACGACCACCACGACAAGACCGGAGTGAAGTTGTGTTTTGTCCACTTGCGCGAGGGCGGCCTGCCACCTGGTCGGTTAGGAGGATTATTTTTTTGCGTCGTTGCGCTCTCTTTTTATTCCGCTGCGTTTTCTTGCGGACCTGCGAAGGGAGATTTGCAAGAAGTTCCTGCGAGGCGTCCGTGCCGTCGTCGGAAAAGCGGATTTTGTTCTCAAAAACGCCACTTTTTGAATTTGTTTTGGGCGGGGAGTTCCTGTCGATTCAACGCGACTTTGTTTTGCGTATTTGATGCGTGTGCTTCCGAACGGTTCGATCTGTGCCCCCGGCCCACTCGGACGTGGTGTGCGCGTCGACGTGAAGGTGCCTGCCAGCCGTTTTATTGCCTCCCCGCTGTGGCTGCCGCCGTTGCCTTCCTCCCTCCCTGAGGTCCTGCGGCTTCTTGACAAGATGTTTTGGAGAAGGCGTTGCCGCTCTTATTGTCCATGATATTTTGATTCTGGTGTTGCGGTCAGGAGAAATTGAACGAGAGGGTTTGTTGCCCTTTGTTTTATTTGTCCTCTCTGCCTGACGGCCAGTTCTACACAAACGTGCTCCTCGGCACCTCAGTTGGTGCTGGCGGGTTGCTCACAGTTGTCACTGGCAATCGCATGCGCCAACTCGTCTCTGCTCCTTTTCAGTGTCGCATTTTTTTATTGATTGACGGACGCCATTCTGTCCGGCGTGCTACCTTGATTGGGTTGTGTGGGACTGCTCGCCAACGCCATCGGAGAAAGCAGGCCGTCATTTCCGCATATTTAATTCCATCTTGCGCACACGTATTTTTTTTACATGTTCTGTTGGGCACTCAAACAGCGAGGTGTCCGGAACTATGCGTGCGTGGAATTCTTCCTGTCATGTGAGCTGCGGGCAACATCGAGGGGCTGCCACTTTGATTCGGTAGAGTTGTTGTGTCTCTTTGCATGGCTGGCAGGGAAATTCCATGCAGCCTGCTACTGCTGGTGTGTCCTCAAATGTTGTCACTCCATGCGAATAATGTGCTTCAGCGAGTGAGGGGGATTGTTGGGTTTGTGTGCACTCGGATTCTGTTTGCTACTTTGTGCGGTCACGCAACACTTGAGTGGTGGGAAAATGGAGCGGGGCGATGCATGGCCGCGTCCCCTCATTGTCCACTGCACGGTGGTGCGGTGCACACTGTGGTGTTGACTCTGCGATGTGACTGCGGTCCCCTGTGCGGCGGTGGTGGTGGATGGAGGAGAATGCTGAGTTGCATCGGGACGTTGGGATCGTGCCTCCTTTTCTCTTTGTTTCTTTCCTTTTGTGAAGGTGTGCACTTATTTTTGGTGCCGGTGATGGGGCAAACAGACCGATAACGTGAATAAAACAAAATAAAAAAAGGCGGTAGCGTGGCGGTGTTGGGGTTGGTTGCACGTTGTGTTGCTGCGGGGGCGGTGGGCCTTGGCTGCTTCACCGACAGGCGTTGCAGTGTGGCTGCATGGCGCACCGACCGCCCCGCCGTGCGAGTGCCACGCCCAACGCCGTTGGGACTGCGGGACGAAACAGCCGCGACTGCCCTTTGGAGCCAGCGGCACCTGCTGGCCGCAGTTGGGCGGTGCGAGTGGGATGCTTCACCGCACGGGTGTTGTGATGGCACCTTGCAGTGGCTCTTGTGATGGTTCCGACGCTGCGGCTCGACATGTGGCGGGGAGTAAAAGTGTGGCCGCAGTGGACCATGAGCAGCACCAACATGAGGCTAAGTGATTTCCTTTGGAATTATGTTGGCGGCAGGGCGGCTGTTGATGAAAGACTGCAATGTGACGATGGAAGTATTTGCTCAGAAGCCGGATGACTACGTACAAGACCAGCGGCCTCTTGAGGAAATCCTTAACCTAACTGCGCACCAAGCGCTGGAGGCCATTACTAAGCCTCTTCACGGAGGTGTGCTCTCTCTCTCGGGCAACGTGGGGACTATGAAAGAAAAGGATACGATCACTCCTCTTGCAAGGGGAAAACCAAACGGAGTACTCACGCAGGTACTGACAGAAGCGAGGCGGGAGGCAGAGGAAAGGCTAAGAGGAACGCAAGAAATGAAATTTACCATTTCCACTAATATCGAGGAGGTACTGTTTAAGGGAAGAGTTTGCGTCAATGAAAAGAAGCTGAACGACTTTCTTACGAGGGAACCGGACGGCGGGGGCATTGTGGACACCAATCGGGATGTCATGCTGGAGGAGTTTTTCAAGGACCCCACGAAGTATATCCACGATGCGGAAGTATTGGGCGAAATACAGGCAACAGGTGCTTATGCGAGGATGGAGGGGGCTGTACGGGAGGAAATGGGTTTGGAAGAAGATTTACACAAGCTTCATCACGAGGGTGTGTTCTCTCTCGAGCAATGGAGGGACTATGAAGGAAAGGATACGGTCACTCCACTTGCAAGGAGAAATCTAAACAGTGTACTTACTCAATTACTGAGAGAAGAAAGCCGTGAGGCGGAAGAAAGGGCAATGCGGGAGGAACAAGTAGAAAGTACCCTAACTACCACGATCAGAGGTGTGCTATTTAAAGGAAGAGTTCGCGTCATGGAAATAAAGCTGAATGATTTTCTTACGCTGAGATTTGGCGGAAAGGGCATTGTGGCTACCACTCGGGATGTCTTACTGGAGGAGTTTCTCAAGGACCCCACGAAGTATATCCGTGATAAAGGAGCGTTGAAAGAAATGCAGGCATCGGGTCATTATTTGGGTATGAAGCGAGCTGTAAAGGGTGAAGTGATCTTCGATGAGGATATACGCAGGCTATGCGATAAGGGTGTCAACAATCTACCGGGGTGGTCATTGGCTGCTGCGAAGGTAAAAGCAGCTGTTCATAACTCCACTAAACATTTCTTGGATGCGGCTGCCGAGGAGGCGAGGAACCCAACGACGACGAGCGCACCGGAGAAACTGGAGGGATGCTACGAGTCTGTGCACAATGCGAGGTGGAGCCATGCGGTGGAACTTCCGGACTGCGTGGAGCGAACGAAAACGGGGACGGGGATGGGGTGCATGAGGGGAGGCCAAAACAGTCATGGTCGTACAGGGAAGCTGACGACGCTATCGAAGAGAATGATGCTGTGCAGCAATTCGGTGCGGCACCTCCCGTGTTGATGGTGCTCACCTCGTAGAAGGGATGGCCGTACTCGTGGCATACGATACAGGATCTTCCTAAGGACGTTTTTGCGAACTGCGAGGTGGATCGGGTGTGGCAGATCGTCAAGGGCGACATAACCGCGTGGTTCAGCCCTCACGGTGGGACCGACTTTACGCCAAAGCGGCGTGTGTTGATTGGGACGCCCGGGATCGGGAAGTCGGTGGCTGCCGGCTCGTACCTCCTCTACCGGCTGCTGCACTGCGATTTCAAGAAAATCCAAGTGGTAGTCCACTGTTTTGGAGAAGGAGATGCGTACGTGTCTGACAAGACCACCAGAGCGGTGACAAGATGCAGCGATGAGGAAATGTGCATCTCGGAGTTGAGAAATTTAAGGGAGCGTGGGATGAAGGGGTACATTATTTACGATGTGGCAAAGAAAGGAACGCCACCACTGAGACATTTTGCGCCCTCCACCGGATGGGGCATGATTGTGGTGTCATCGCCAAAGGCAACCAACTATGATGAGTGGGAGAAGCAAACAAAAGCGGCGCGAATCATCATGAATTGTCCCGACGAGATGGATGTGAAGGCGATGTGTACATGGATGAAGCGAGGTCCGGATAAAGATAAGCAAGCGGGATACTGGAAGAAGGTCAAAGAACGCATGTATCTTTTGGGATCGATTCCACGTCACATCTTTGATGAGGAGGCGTTTAGGGAACGCTGTGGAGCGGTGAGGTTTGCATTGCAATCGATCAACGAGATAACTGTGAAAGAGCACTTTTCACGGGGAGGTGAGTCGCCATGGTATTCTGAGGATCCGTCCCACAAGCCTGTGAAATTTGTTCGGGAAATATACGCAGGCGGTGTGATCCGATTCAATGCACCGATATCTGACTATCTCGAGGAACGGACGTTGGAACGTTTCCCAAGTGTAGCAGAATAAAAAGGCTTTTTGAAGCTGATGTTGGCTTCGAAGGATAATATTTTGCCCATATTTTTTGGATGGTTTGCTTTGAAATCGTTCACGGAGAGTGTCTTTGTCAAGTTAATAGGGAAGAAACTCACGGAGTTTGAGCCGCCAACAGGACGTCAAGCAAAGTCCTGCGTTTTGTAGTAGGCCCCTGAATTGCATCCCAAGGGAGATGAGGGTTTGCTGCCGAGTGAATATGAAAAAACGATCCGTAAAATAAAGTACGGGGTGCTGCACACACCGTGGGCCACAAACCTTTTTGCTGGTGGACGCCTTTTACTTTGTGGACTCAAATCCGAAGACGCTGGTTGGGCTGCGGATGACTACGGCGGGTGGGCGCCACACCACCGCCAGCACTGTGCGGCAGTTCACTGAGTGCCTGGAGGCATATTTTAATGGTTGGGAGGAATCATCCCGAGACATGTCGTGGGAGATGATTTATGTGCAGCACGCAGACAGCACGCCGATGAATGACTGGCAGAGATGTGATGTTGTAAATTCCAATAATGTGAGCCGCGCTGAAAACCGAGAGATTGCGGCGTTCTGGGAGGAGAAGGTGCGCCAGTACATAGCAGCGGTATCATCCGGAGACTTTAGAAGAGACGAAGCCGTCCGAAGTGTGCAATAATAATAATAATAATAATAATAATAATAATAATAATAATAATAATAATAGGAAAATAGATTAGGAAATTGAAGGTGAACGAGACAGTTTAATTTATGGTAAAAAATATTGTGGTATTTTCATATTTTTGGATGCTTGTGTCTGAGCATGCGGTGCGGGTGCACCAGCCCCATGCGGCAGCACCGCACACAAATGCCAAAGTGTCCAACGCTATCGAACTTAA